TAGAAATTGAAAGTGCTTTCTGTCAAATATTATCTTATACCGGAATCGGGCATGATCACTCAGTGGTATAACTGCTTTCCCGCATCGTGAAAACTGATACTTCGCTATTTGCCGATGCCTGTGGCGCGATATAATATAACTACGTGGTGTAAACGTGGTGGTGTAAATACACGAACACTATTTTGCACCGAATAAACCAGACAACAAAAACAGTTCCTGCATATACTGACGAATATGCGTGGAAGCACTCCTGTGTTGTGGAAACTGTGTATTTACTGATGGAACAGAAATTTGAATACGCGAGGCGGAAAATAACTTTCCAACCTCGGACGAAACTTATGAATACTGTCCGAGGTCGAGAAAGCATTTTAGAACCCAGACTTCGCCGACACACGGACCTGTTTTGAAAAACGAGGTTCTAAAAAGTTCCTGGTCCAGAGGGCTTCATGCACACGCAATTAATCTTAATTTGTGCACTTAGTTTCGTGCACAATCCATGGCTGTGATGGAAAGTGGAGTGGCTTAATGTTAGGTCAGTGATACACAGCACGCCCACCGTGACCACCAAATAACATGGTATCTAAAAATTACGTGCGTTATTCGTCTATCGCTAATGATTCTGCCTGTTATGAAGCTTACAGACACCGCATCACGACATAATGGCGTTAGTGCTCTGTTCTCACTATTCGATGCGTTTCAGAGCAGAGACTCGTTTAACGTGCCGTGCTGTGTTACCACCATGCTCCTCAACCTGAGTTATAGTGCCTGAGCTCGCGGGCAGCCACAAGCAGCCCATGCATGCCAGATAACGTTACCATGTGTAACAAACATGGCAGTGCCTGAACATGCAAGATTTCAGGCTATTAACCGGAGCAAAAAGCATCAGGTATGCGCTGACTTGCATATAAACGGTGTTATGCGAAGTTATCTGCTCGGCCAACCCTGATGTAAAACCAATGTCTAGTGTACAGGACCTCACCATAACATGATTAGACAGCTAATTCCTTGCCGGACCCGGACCGTAAGCTCTCCCTGCACTTAGAGGCTTTGTGTAGAGAGTGTCGACGATCTCAACTTGGCTCGCCATTGCCGCTATATTTGCCCATGGCCGACTACACATAAAGTCGACTATAATACGGAACTGGGTTCACACCATTCCCACCCTTCAGGGTATTACAATCGATGCGTGGAGTCGCAAGAGTGCGATCTGTACACCACGTACGGTAGGGGAAACTCCTTCTGGAAGAACTGATAACGACCGATCCGCTGCCAGCCCCTCCATCAGGCGGACCATCTCCTGGAGCATGGCAGCAGCTCAAACTGCATCATTTTGCAGGAGGCGGTTCGTCATATCAGGCCCGAGTTTGGCATCGATCGGTGCGCGATGGCGCCAAACGTCGAGTCATCGAACGCTGGTCTCGGACAAAACATGGCTTTGTCACGCAGTGGCGCAGTCCCGCACGGCGCTGATTTGCTGCATCACGGGTGCATGTAACGTTCATGCTGGCGGTGCACTGTATCACTTGTACAAATATTTCGCCTTTTTCCGTGCGACTACCCGTCTGTCCCTCTTCCCGATACCACCGGCTGCCGACAGGAGATGAGGTAGTTGGACCAATGAACTAGCTATCTCTAAGGATGGTTGAAATGTCGGGCCGTTGCTTTGTTGACGGATATTATTGTCAAGACATCTGAAAGGGGACGCACAGTCCATGCCAAGGGTGGACGTCCGACGAAGCATCTATTGAATGGAGAATAATGTCCGTCGCTGAATGCTGAAAGCCACTGCAAAGTGATGACGTAATGGAAAGGGAAGCCAGGGGCGTCTTTCCAGGGCTCGGATTGCCACCAGGTCAGGGTTGTCACTTTATGGGCTTTCGGGGGGGGGGGGGGGTCCTCCCCACTGCTGACTTGAGCCCCACTGCACCTTGATTGCTTCTGTCACCCCTTCCCCTGCCCTGTGAATATGGACAGAAATGGAATACCGGACCAATTTAGTGCAAAAAATTATCGGAGGTGATGGTACACGAGGTACCTATGTATAAGCTTTGTCAGTGTGCGATTAATGGGGTTTTCACACAACCCCGGGATTGGAAAAAAAAATACAATGCAACATTCGGCAGCTTTTAAGCAAACGGTAGCTGATCGCATTTGCTTGTTTGCACGGCTTGCCATCTGTAAACGTGAATTGTACCCATGGACAATTAGGTCCTGGTAATCACACGTAATGGCCGAGTGGTTAACGCTTTAGATTCCCGCGCTTGGGCTCGGGTTCGAATCCCAGTTGCGACATGCCCCCTGAGCGCTGACATGTCCAATGCAGTCCTGGGCGATCCATAAAAAAAACGTTGCGCGATGTCGTGCGTGGCGTTCATTAGAAAAAGAACAGCAGGATGATTCTGGATGCAGCCACATATCTGTGCATGTGTGTGTGATTCTCCCTGATTTGCCTAAATACACGTTTATAGTTCGCCCCTTTCTAGTCGGTACAAACCACATGACGTATGTGCGGACGATATACCTCTTTTGTCACCGTCATCTTTCAGTTTCCAGTCTTTGTTTAATGCATACGAGACATGTCCAAAAAGAACGTCATGTAACAAACAACGCAAGAAAGACATTGTAGCTGGTCATGTGACGGAAGCTCTTTAAGTAAATGTTGTTGCCACGATTCACATTGTATGGCGCACAATAAATACATGCAAGGCAATATAAATGTCATGGCTTGCTTTTATCTGATGCGTCTGGTGACAACTACGGGATCCGGCAGCATTAGCGTCTGTTATGCTGCCGTACGAACACTCATTGGCTTTTCAACGTCCTTTGCATATCCCACTTCATCGTCAAGTCAAAAGTATGAAAGTGATTTATTTACGACTTAATGCTCCACGACATTTTTTAAAAGATTTAATCCAAACCCTTTGAATCGATTAAATTCTGGCATCAGAGCTCACGCTAAGCAGGCATACAGATTGCATTCAATGAATGCGAGACAATTCCCCAAAACACCATATAGCTAGCAATGCAAAGAAGACAGTAACTAGCCATGCGACTCAAGTTCTGTAAGAAAATGTTGCCACAATTTACAATTGTGACACGTGTCACAATTAAATTAGCGTGGCGCACAATTATACGGAGTGTTTCACACTTATATGGGGGTTTTGAGCTGAAGCCTTGAAGACCTTTCGGTGTTGTTCTACCCGGCTTACCCGGGTAAGACCTCATCCCTCTATTTACTGAGCTACACGCCCGCGAAAATTGGGAAAGGTACATCGGGGTGAGTATTTCAAAGTCACCTCCGCATTCATAACGTCATGATAGCGTCATTCAAATCCTGCCATTCCATAAGCCATGCGGGGATCAAGGCCAAAAAATCTGATTGTCGAGGCGTTCGTATCTGGCGTTCATGAGCGTGATATCCAGATATAACGGCCGTCAATTGGCTCTCAACCAATGTTTTGCAAGGTGCGATGACGTAATCAAACCATGACGCATTGAGGGGCATATTTACTAAACAGAGATTTGTGCCGTCAAGAGCAGTCATTTCTGCTTAAAAGTGCACCAATAGTTATAAATAAACTTGTTTCACCACACCTGATGCGTGCTGCAATATCTTCAAATGTAGAGCACTCCCTTTCAGACAAAAATCGCGGGCAGTGCTGGACGAGACAACAGGCAGTGTTGTGTCAGCACGAACGGGCGGGATTGTGAAGAAATCTTTAAATGTCTGAAATATGTTGACATGTAAGATATTCCTTTGAGCATATCTTAAGGTTTCATGCATCTGTGACATGTAAATAAACCTGTAAAAGTCACAAATGTAACAATGCATGTGACAAATGAAAATATAAAGGTAACGCAGGTAATGGTTTAACATTTTGTTCACTTATGGCAAATGCATCATGCGCCTGTTCTTAAAAAGCTCAAGGTGTATGAATACTGCTGCCCCGGCCTTTTTTGCATTATGAAAGATTTGCAGTGATTTCGAAATGTTTTTATCACAGCACATTGATAACTTCGAAGCGACGTATAGGTAAGCAGCTTGGACTTTTTGTCTGACAAGACAATGCTGAATGTAAACTTCGTCGTGCATCATCATCCTAATCATACAAGATCCCGTGATATTCTGTGAACAAATGTGAAGGAGCTACACTCAAGAGTTTTGAACTCAGACATGGATAAAGACCCAAATTCAAACTCGAACTCAGATGTAGACTCGGAATGGGCATCAACCTCCAAGAAATTACATACGAACTAAATCTCAATGACTTGTACCCGGACACGCACTCAACCTCACCAATCATGAAAATGTTTCGGCTCAGACTCGGGCTCTGTAATCTGACCAGTGTAACGTCAGGACTCAGATTTGGTCTTGAACATCAGGGTTTGGACTTGAACATGCCTTAGGCTCTTGAGCCCATTACTGTTTTCAACGCACCGTGAATTCACACGAGTTAAACTGCATCTATCCCTCCTATTTGTACCCAGCTTTTAGGGGCGGCTCTTGAGTGCGGGAGTGGAAGCGCGGAAGTGTTTGTCAAGAAATCCAAGTTGATCCGCAAAGGGTGCATTTGTAGTTTCAGAACTCGCGGCGATTTTACGCATCGCCGGACCGTAACAAAAGCCTGGGACTTTTATCGTCGGTGGCGGTGGCTATGATCGTGTTAAGTGCTTTTACGTCGGTTATGAGCGAAATCTTAAGTAAAAGTTCCGAGATTTGTGAAATGCTAGATTTTGATAGCGCTGGAAAAATATAAACCCGCATGTAGCCGCTACGAATAGCGGTTGTGCAGGGCAGGTACTGAACGTTCGTTGCCGAACAGCCTTGCCGAGCCGGCGTGCTGAGCCGATGGACCGGGTTGCAGAGCCGGCGTGCTGAGCCGCGTGGCTGTGTTGCAGGGCCGGCGTACTGCGCCGCGTGACCGGGTTGCAGGGCCGGGGTCTGAGCCTCGTGACCGGGTTACAGGGCCGGCGTGCTGAGCTGCGTGGCTGTGTTGCAGGGCCGGCGTGCTGAGCCGCGTGACCGGGCTGCAGGCCCGGCGGCAGGAACGATGCTCGGCTACCGGGAGGTGGACGTGTGGTCTCGCCGGCACGAGGTGCACGCCATGCGCGGCCAGGTGACCACCTCCTGCTTGTGGAACGCCTGTCGCGCCATGGGCCTCGGCCTCCTGCTGGTCACCGTGGGAGCGGCCATGGCCACCATGGGTGAGCGCGGCCGGGCGCCACTGCTCGGTCCTGCAGGCCTCGCGCACAGTGGGCAGCTGACAACGCCGCCAGACTCTATGTCACCCTCAGAATCAGAACAGTGCTATATAAGTGGACACAATCGATGAAGAGGTGGCTTGCTATGATGCGCGACACTGAAGTGGGCAGTCTTGGTTGGGTTAAAGCAAGATAAAACGCAATGCAGTGCAGGTTGGGGATGGAAACGTAACCACGACTTATATGCCACAGTTTCCTAATTATAACTATACTCCGAGTGATGAGACCCGTCAAAAGCCTGTCATCTAGCTTCTCTAAAACGACGCAAAGATTCTGAATTCAATCATCCATTGTCAATCGAAGAGAGCCAGAACAGCGGAAGTATTGTCAGCTTCACACTGTTTTGCTGAGCTGCCCTCGTCTAAACACACGGCCCGAAGCGCTGCTGTGCTCGGGCGTACCACTTAAAGAACTGAAGCGCCAGATTTGACAGCGCCACTTGCCGGGTGCCAAGGTGAAAGTCTGAAGTTAACCGAATTGTTTCACACAGATAAGACAGAAGTAATAGCCTTATTCCTCGCAGAAAAACCGGAAGAATTGAGATATAAATGCATTGACATTTCGGCAACACGCCGTTGCGGAAACAACAGCGGAAGTGCTATTCTTCCGTAGAATATATAATAGAGTTCTGCTGTTGTTTCTAGAAAGACATGTTGCTGAAGTATCAACGCATTTATATCTCCATTCACCTCCTTTTTTTCTCCGAGGAGTAAGGCTATTACTTTGGTCTAATCTATGTGAATAATACTCCTCGCAAATACATTTCACAGCTCGTGAATAATTTCAGTGTAATTAGCGACCCCTGACAACCAGAAATCAAGGGAATACGAAGAACGTGTCGCAGCTCTCTGTGTCCTGACTCCGATGTTTCTTTTTGGGCCGGCTGTCGCAGTTGGCCGCTCTCAGCCCAATACCTAGCCGCTGTCAGTTACTGTGCTCGTCGTGTTTAGGAAGTCAACAGTATTTTACACAGGTTTTTGCGAAAGTCGAAAGGAGTTTTGTTAATGATGTGGCCGAATGACTGCTACAATCGTTAAGAGGAGTAGGACCTACGGAAAGTTACGTGTCAGTTCTTTCTTTTTGTACTCGACGTAAGTTTGTGCCATATCTCTGAGCAGATTTTTGGACTAATCAAAAGTCCTTTCGGACGAATATCGACTTACATGTAAATTTGTATGTGTTGCCAGCTTGACGAGCAAATCCGCATGTGTGTGTGTGTGCTCTCTAACTTTTGGTGTCCTGGAAAGTTTGGGATAGGGCCATTCAATTTTTTGGCTCTTATTTTCGTTTATTTTTATACGGGAATCGGTCTTTCTGAGAGTGACCCTGGACCGCTAGACATAGGACGAAAAGACGTGAAGCGTCTTCGTTTTCTTCAGAAATTAGTGACTCCTGCCTTTTCCATCAAACTTTTTGGAAAAAGATATGACAAAATGAGTTACAGACGGCTTCTGAATACCATCACATTTGGTCACGAAGTGTGGTAAGGGTGACCATCCATCGTCATGCGCAGCGAAAATGACAAAAGACATAATTGCAGCCGTTTGTTTGGTGTTTGAAGCCGAATTATAGCCGTTTGAAGCTTGATGACCTATGCGCCGTCGCATGACGGGCATATTAAGATGTTGTTAGTGGCAGCCAAAAAGAGCGAAGCCAGTTTAAGTTTAGTTTTCCTGTAATATATTTTTCTGGCAATTTAACATAGCGTTAACACCCTGGAATATGGAAAATGCTTTTAGTATCGTTACAATGGAAATCACCCAATCTTGTGCTGTACGTCTGGACTATAACGAATGAGAAAGAACCGCACTGTGTTGCGAAAAAGGCGCTAGCCAGCCCGTAATATAGGCGTCATAGCTATCGAGTGAAATAAGATGCACCACTCTGACGGTACATATAACCTCATAATTAATTTAAAATTATTTATTTACTTACGATTAAAATTCGTTGCAACATGCGACTGATGCCTCGTGCAGCCAGCACACCCAGAAAATATACTATTTTGGAGAAATATCGGACTTAACTACTTGTGTTTATTTAGTCAGGCTCATGCCCAACCATATCCGTGTGGCATGCACAGTTTCGCTGTGAAAGGCATGTTCTTGCTCATACTTTCACGGAGGTTTCGGGTGTCCATCAAAATGTGAAACTTTTCCGAACAATGAACGCATTTTGTAAGTAGGAATGCTAATTTTTTGCGTCCTATGTCACGTGAATTGCAATAGTGATGGGCCATTTTTCTGGAATGTTTTTGTGCAGCGAAGTTAGACTTTTAAACTTAATCCGAACCTTTTGAGCGGATGAATTTCTGGAAGCATAATTCACATCAAGCAGTGCTTGGTTCCGTGAGCCGTAGCTCTCACCATCCAATTGCGCAATTCAAGGTCAACAGCAAAATTTAGTGGCGAAAGTTTAACAAGCTGCAATGCTCGGCACGGTCCGTCCTGCTCTCTGAGGTCAATTGACCGTTAGCGCGGCCGCTGCCACTAGCCGTAGGCCATATCTGTCAAGCGCAAATAGGCCCTTGACAAATACGGTCAAATAAGCCATATCTGTCAAGAGCAGTTAAGAGACTGGAATCCAACCTACCACGGGTGGATGGATCGGAGGGCAGGCGCTGTAGCCAACTGAGCCATCGGGATGGACAATCGGACGGGTTGATCAAGATTATGCTAAAAAAAGAGGTGATGCACTCTGTGTTGAAAAAATATACAAAAAACAAACATTTCAAGTACCCCGCTTGGAGATTTCATGCTGTTTTAGTCTTAAAAGTGGCAATGTCCCAGCAGACAATGAAACTCGTTGGAAGTGCAAATTCAGAGGTCGTGAAACGTTGCACAATATGAACGCATCATACTTGAAGGGACCAAAATCCCAAAGAATAACCCAAATCACCGCCTTCGCGTTGTCAGTCGCACGGAGTTCGACAAAACCCTTTCATCTTCGCTGCCAAAAGTTCGGGCTGTCCGGAACTAGATCATCTGACATTCTGAAAAAGACTTGACACCACAACATGTAAGGGTACTCCCAAAACTCGAGCCCCGAGACATAGAGATACGCTTGGCAAAAGGTCATCGGTCCACTGACAGCTCAAACGGGAACCAAAGTGTTGCACATTCAACTGCTACTTTAAAAAATGAAATGAAAAAACGATATTCTAGGAAACTTTATCGTTTCATATGGTCCCAGGATCATTTAGGGGCCCGCACCGTCCTCACTTCAGCATCCGTCCAAGGAATCATATTATTGTAGTGTTATGGCCAAGCGATCGCGTCTTCTGCTAACTCCATGTCATGACGGCACGAGTCCATACAGCGATGCCATGGGAGCCGACGCGCAGAAAACCAACATATTTCCGTGGCGATATTCCCAATTCGTTGACCATTCGTGGACAGTACGTGAGTGAACACTTGGACTGGGCCGAGTGAACGTCACAACGGGAAACTGCTAGTATTTAAGAGGATGAAATGTGGCAATGCAATAGCATGCCATTTCATGTTGTGATATTTCAGTTTTCACTGGCATTCAGGCCAAAACAGCCACCGCGATGGTCAGCAGTGTGCTGGTGGTGAACACAAGTGTCAGAAGCGAAATAAAAACAACCCGGGTTCACGACAGTAATGATGCATATTTGTGCAGGGGTTATCTGGGGATGCCATAGAAAGTGTCAAACATTCTATAGCTGTCAAATCATGATTAATTGGGATTTGAATTGGGCTGTGGTCCGATGACATGGATGTTGCAATTTATTTATAAAGTTGAACACCGGGTTTCTCCATCATCGTAGATAAAAGCTAGGTGTAATTATAACACGTCTGTGAATTTAATATTAGCTCTTCGGAAATGCGAAATGTTTCACATAAATGAGACTCGATACGATGGTATTGACATATTTGACCTACCACTGTGGCATGCGTCTTCGTGGATAATGAATACCTGACTAGCACACAGGAACTTTTCACAGAATTTGGAATAGACTGGAAAAACATCCGAGTAAAAAGTGAGAGAGACTGGTTTGGCAAGCCATTTTCCGTTTCCCCCACCCGACACCCTCGTACTGTTCCCGCGTCCTACGTACCAGTTATACGCTTTGAACTTCAAATAGTCTTTGAAACATCGAGTTGTCGTGCCACTTATGATAGCATACTGTCATTTAAATGAGGCTAGTCAACTGGCGTACCCAGGGATTCGCACAGGAGGTGCAAGGATGGCGGCCCCCATCTAACCCCTCAAAAGTTTCAACATGAAACCTGTCAACGTCCATCACTGTTTCCTCATAACTCATACACCCGGGACAGCACTCTCAAATCCCACGCACACTATGAAGCCCTGCGCATCGCTTGTGCAATAGCTAACGCTTCGAACTCAATCACGATTTTGTCAAAATAAAGTCCAGGGTCCAGTGTCAACCGTGCAACAGTTTTTGAAGTTAACGATTCCGTTGATTGCTTCTGACGTGAACGGAGGCGTTAATTCGTCAGTCCAAATTTGCATTAGCTAATTAACGGCTTAGCGGTTTAACGAAGTCTGAGCAGCCTCTGCAAGTCGCATATCAGCTGGTTGATATTCAGGGTGGTTGGTATTATGGGTCGCATTGGAGAACACCCGCTCAGCATCAGCGGCTGATGACAGCAGCCGGCGGATCCGCTTGGAAAGCATCCGCTTAGATCCGCTTGGATCCGCTTGAAAAGCGTCAGCTCAGCATGGGCGGCTGATGACAGCAGCCGGCGGATCCGCTTGGAAACATCCGCTTGGATCCGTTTGGATCCGCTTGAAAAGCGTCAGCTCAGCATGGGCGGATGATGACAGCAGCCGGCGGATCCGCTTGGAAACATCCGCTTGGATCCGTTTGGATCCGCTTGAAAAGCGTCAGCTCAGCATGGGCGGCCGATGACAGCAGCCGGCGGATCCGCTTGGAAAGCATTCGCTTGGATCCGCTTGGATCCGCTTGAAAAGCGTCCGCTCAGCATCGGCGGCTAATGCCGGCAGCCGGTGGATCGATGCAGCGGAAGATAACCACATTCCGCCCGGATTCAGCCCAGCCCGCATTTCACGGCACGAATGTAGAGGAATTCCCTTTACGGCCCGTTATGTCCCATAGAAAAAAGTTTGGCTCGCGACGCGTCCTCTGAAAGCTCTTTTTATTCCAAAGGCAACGGTTCAGCGTAAACCGCCGGTTTCTCTTGGGTGAAAAGCCGTAGGCCATTGCAAAATAATGTCTTAGGGGCGGCAACGAACATTTTCTTCAGAAGATCCACTGAACCATTGACCAATGTTATCAATCGTGCCGGAGAAACTCTGCAGACATTTTTAGTGTATCGTTCAAAACCTCTGCATAGCTTGCACAAATGCTTTTTGCGGAAACAGTGAAGCGCCGCATGTTCATTCTCGCACGTCAGCTTCTATCTCATTGTACCTGGTAACGGACTCACCAAGAGCCTGTCCAGGCTTCAGAAGATCACAAACTTCTTTTCCTGTGCAGCATATGGGAAATGGAAGTTTAGACTCGTAGCTGACACGCAGGAGGCTCTTTTCTGGCTGGCTTCACCGAGCATGTTGCATTTGCAAACAATCCCCTTCTTGCACAAGACCCTTAGAACTGTGGTACTCCCATTTTTCACGTTTTTTTCTACCAACAGGAAATACCTGATCGGACCCGGAGCACGCACCATCCTGCTATGTTGTGCGTGCGGGATATTCTCTGATCTGAGGCTGGCAGGAGGCAGTTTGTATATCGGAGTGCCCTGCAACACAATGCTCTCCCTGCAGAAATGTTGAATATGACTGAGCCATTCTGCAAAAGGAAATGAAAGTTACATTTCTGGTCAGTGGCTTGTTTTACAATGTTTGAGTGCATGCTGCGGATGCTGCAGCTGTTTTTTCACTGTTACTTTTGGCCTTCTTTTCCCAGTCATGCTGGGACTCGGCATCAGCACAGACCCTTGGTTTTAACAAGGGCAAAGGATGATCCCACGAGATAAAATGGATAAGTGCATAGCTATGTAACTAAATGGACGAATTAACACTTATCCAAGAAGTAAAGAAATAGCAAATAGATCAAGGTATATAACTGTATGCATATATATATATATATGGACGTTTAGTAACCCAAACGCATCTTGGAAGCAAAAGCACGATTTTTGCGGGGATGAATCATATGAAATTGCAAAACTCGTGTCTTTAACGCGGCTCTACGATTTCCTTCAATATTGCCAGATCGAAACACGCATCGATGTCCATCATTTTGGCTAAAAACCTATGGGCTATGCAAATGAAGTGGTCAAAAAAGTTACCTACGTAACGGGTGCTGTCGCTACATGGCGATGCCCATTGCCCGAACTGTGTTTCAAATGTGAGCAACTGTGTTTTAGATCGGAACGTATCCAACCTTGTTTTATTTCTGCCTGTTGCCTTGTTTGCAAGTTTATCCTGGCATACATGTTATGTCTGTGCATATGCAGCGAAATATCGGTATTATTTACATTTCACTCAAGCTTCGGCAATCTTGATCCATCGCCCGCTGCCGTGCTCCGGTCGAGCTGGACGTGTCGGGCTGCGCAGTAAGCAGTTCCGCCTCTAACGTGGCTTCCGTCTTATTTGTGCCTTCCCTCTTATTGGAAGCAGGTGCGTTTGAACGTTTAAGTAATGTTTTTCACTCTCTTTGGCAGCATATGACGAACGCCGCTCACGACTGGATCTCTGTCAACATCCCTTGCAATATTCGTGGAACTGCCGCTTGATCTCCGACGCATAACGCTACTACGTAACGACCACACCGTGATGAAGACGCGGTTTGCGCCGTTCTCGTTGCGCCCCCCCCCCCCCCCCCCCTTCAAACGGCTGCAATGCAGCTGCTGCTGTCACGGTATGGCGCATTTTGAGATGCAACCTGAGATGACGAGATGAGAACTTGAGAACGGCACCGACTGGCCGGCAGGGTACTACAGCCAGCGGTCACTGCACCAGCCGGCCCTGTCGCCGGCGCCGGACGCCTCCAACGGCTCCCTGCTGTCCCGCCAGCGGGCCAGGCAGGCCGCCGACCTCACCTTCCGCCACCTCTCCTACTTCGGCTCGGTCGTCATGGGCATCGGCGGTGAGTGCTGCCCGCCGACAGTCCTGAGCCTGGCGTATGCGGATGGCCGATGCTCGCGTGCGCCTTATCTCACGATGCTTGGAGCGCGGCGTGTCCGATGACGTGTTGTTCTGCCAGAGTGGAAAATGGTATCTGTTTTAGGCAGCTGCAAACAAACTACAGACAGACCGTGCAGAAAACTTTATAATAAATGGGAAATATTTGTTTTTGTCGTTGCTGATGTTGTGTAGTGTCAACAGTGGGCTCGGCTGGAACCCGAGGCAAGTGTTTTTGACTCCACTGGCATTGAAACAAAGTTACGTAAAGTTTTACTAGGTCAGCAGCTAGGGTATAGTTTATTCATAAAATGTTCGATCGCGCACACCGGCGACCGAGGGGGGACGGTGAGAGCGGTGTCGACTGGCAACTGTGTGAACTGAACTGACTGTAAACTTCACCCGCTTAGTCAGCGGTACGGTAACGTCTGTTGGCGTCCGGTCTAGTCAGCTGGCAGGTGTGAACGTTAGCCGCTTAGTCAGCAGTCCGGTCCGTTCCGGTCGGGGCCTTATTTCTCCCGAATGCCATGACCAAGGGGCCTCAAAATTTGGCGCATGTGAGCTCATGTAGAGGCCTTCCTATAATGTAAACAAGTGTTTCCATCTGTCTTGGTTTTTGATATCTCAAGTGGGTAGATTGACCACCCCCACCCCACCACCAGCCGTGCGTGCCCATTCGACCGGCCATCCAGAAGCGTGGTAATGATAACACCGAGTTTGTTCTGGACGTTGCGGCTGAAACCAAAAGGCACAGGTAGTAATATCTGCCATATTTGCCATTCGCCAGGCTTGGAAAAAGAACTTTTTGAATCGAAATCTACCTATGACGATCTATTTCAAAAACTTTCAGAAAGCCCGCCCTGGCTTAGTGTCACGGCGACTTAAAAAGACAGCGCAGAGGTAGTAATATTTATGCTCTGTGGCACTTTTTTGCATGTGGGATGATGACGGACTTGATATATCGACAGACGTGCGTCGTGTTTGCTGGCACGCAAAATTGTTCTCCGTCCGATTGCAAAGTTGCTTGTTCAACGTCGCTAGACTACGCCAAGCGTCCATGTGGAAGACGGTCGTGATTGAATAGCTTTCAGGGATCTGGGTTCTGTCTGCGATCGGTATTTGACTGTAATATGCAGAACGGTTGTAAAAATTGTTGAATTCTGAAGCAGGATCTCTCAGCCCCACATGCATTCATCTGATGCGCTGAACCGCATCTATCTGGCGGGAGAACGTCTGGCGAGCTGCATATGTCTGGGTAGAGGACGTCTGGCGAATGTGAAGCAGCTGTCATGTTACATTCCGCGGTAAGTCTTCAAGTCTGATAGTGTTTTTGGCTTTGACTGACGTCTCCCCAGATTAAACCGTCCACAAAAAGGGAAACGTTCGTCTGGGAGGCTTGCAGACTCAGCTTCAGAAAGCTCGCGATTGTTTGGGTAAAGGTCTTGACATGCCTTGGGAGTACATAGAAGTCTCAGCTTCTGTAATTTAACAGGCGAACAGCGTCTACATTCTTGCACGGAGCTCGTGTGCGGTTTTCTGGGTTACATTTGGTTGCGCTAAACATAAACATTTGCATGAGGTAGTTGGGAGACATGCGAAAAGCGAAATACACGAAAGGCATGTAAAATAAAGGTGTAGAGGTCACCAACAGTTTGCTATAGAGATAAGCTACTGGCAATGATTTCAGCTTTGTTTTCATTGGAAGCTTATTGGATGCTGGCAGAGTGATTTAATAAAAGCAGGAAAGGCCTTAAGCTGTTCTCTTCGGCATTTTAATTGTTATGTTGCGAATAACCAGGTCTCATCACACCAGGAGGTATTAGTGAAACGACACTTTCAAGCAATCAATGACTCATATCTTGAGAATATGCAATTTAAAGTCCATTTAACTTGGTGATAATAGGTTAAATTAATGTGGAGTTGAATCGATCAAATGGCATGCTTGGTGAAAAGTTGTCGATGATCGAAAAAGTCCGCCTTGAGCACTGTGCAGTGTGTATATAGGCATATTAGGCATGCATCAGATTAAACATGTGACGTCATTCGACGTAATTCTGCGATCATTTCCCTGGACTAGTCATCTTGCAAGCATCTCATCGCTTGTCGCTTGTGTCAAAACAACCATCAGGGTATTACGGTATGATCGGCTAAATGAAAGCAACAGAAAATGAAATGCTACACTCATTCTAGTCTATTGAGCTAGGGCATGGCACGTTCTTGATTTCGATTCTTGAGAAAACCCCTCCGGTAGTTGGTACGCGCATCATTAAAATCATAATGACATCATCCCGCATCAAAAGCATTGTTCTAAAAGTATATGAAATTGATTCAAGTGACATTTTTCAACGTCAGACGGTGCCTCGCAGTTCGGAACGTTTAAGCGCCGCAAGTTTTCCCCTCACGTGCGGCACACACGCGACGGCTAGAACGGGTCACCCCGCTCGGTACCGCGCGGGTGTCGGGATGGGTTGTAAGCGAGGAGATTTTGTCCTGTCCCATCGTTACGTCTTGAGGAGTCAGCGCCTCTGAAACGCCGGGCGACTAGATTCGACTAGGGCCGGGCCTCTAGCCCTTCGCCACGGAAGACTAGATTCGACTAGGGCCGGGCCCCAGCCCTTCGCCCCGGAAGACTAGATTTGACTAGGGCCGGGCTCCAGCTCTTCGCCACGGAAGACTAGATTCGACTAGGGCCGGGCCCCAGCCCTTTGCCACGGAAGACTAGATTCGACTAGGGCCGGGCCCCAGCCCTTCGCCTGGAAGACTAGAATCGACTAGGGCCGGGCCCCAGCCCTTCGCCACGGAAGACTAGAATCGACCAAGCTTGTCCTCAAATAGTGACGAGGGTATCAAGCATTCGTTAGAAATCATTATGAGAATATACAATGTTTAAAGCCAGCGCTCGTGGTCTCCAGGTTAAACACTAGCTGTGATTCAAAAAGTAGTGGGCGTCAAAGGTCTGAAAATCCGGATCTGTGTAGGCTCTAAAAAAACAAAGACGTGACATGAATAGATCGGTGAGGCCTCCGCATGTTTACTCCCGATGTGCGTCACCGGACTGATCGCTGCCCAGAGCACAGACGATTAGGCCCAGAGGTTTCGATGACCTGCACAAAAGCTTAAAAACGTCCTGCTCTACATCAGTGTTCCAAGCTATGAAACATAAAACTATTTCTAAACGTCCCCACGCGAAAACGCCCGCTCAAATCACGTTCCACGATGACGTCTTTAGTTTAGTGGCGGCTGAACTCACGAAAGACTGAACGGAAAATGCAAACGCTTTATTTTTCTCAACACCCATGACCGGGCTCGGCACAACAAGTTGACGCACGTGGAAGCCTCAAGCTTCCCCTCAAGTATAGCGCCGCCTTGGGCGTCTGGTCACCATGACCTGCTCACAGGTCAATGTGAGCATTGCTGAGGAAACCTGACGAGAGGTGCGGTGGCGCGCCCGTGGTGCCGCACCACACAACCGCCCGCTGCCGCTGGCGTGCGTGGGCCGCGGCTGGACGTGCTGCCGCTGATGCGACCTACGGGGCCCGGCAGAATACACGGCTGTGATAACGATGTGTCAACGCCGTGCGGCCCAGACCCGTGGGACCCGTCCCGACGACAGCAGCGGTCCCAGACCGGATTACGGGCTGTCCATCAGCGCCGCTGCGCCACCACCAGTCAACACCGCACGCACCGTCAAACCAACACCGCACGCCGATAAATCACCAGCTCGCACCGGCCGGTCACCACGGTGCAGTTATGAGTTGCACTGACTGAGCAGCACATGCCACTGACAGGTCAGCCCGTACCACTGGCTGATCAACATGTACCGCGGGCAGGTCAACAAATGCCTCTGACGGGTCAACATGATGTATTGGCAGTTCATTGGAGCGCACTCACAAATCAGCGCCGCACACTGAAACAAAGGCGAACTGAACAGCACGTGGTGCGTTCTAAGGCATACAATTTGCGGTACTAAAGTAACGATTTCCGGTGATTCAGCAGCGACGCACCAGACGCCAGTGAGTGTTCGCTAGCGGTGTTCCCTCTCGCTGCTGCCAACGTCGTGCCGCGCCCCTGTCCTAGAAAAGCTAATCTGTGTGACAATGAGTGGTCTTTACCATCAGCTAGTTGATATCAGAGCATTGGGCCCTCTGGCCCGAATCAGAGATTCGTCTGGCTTATGGCGCTCGTGTTCCCCTTGTCCTCAACTCCAGCATGATATGGAGTCTACCAGCTCCATGAAAGCATCCATTGACAGCACAGTTCCCTGAAGGATATAGGCCATCCCATTCCAACAGAACTCATTTATCGTCTGTCGATTTCCGTTTCGTCCGACATAAACACAATAAAACATGACAGCGAAATTCAACGCGTTCAGGGCAGTCCCGCAGTTAGCTGGAAACGCATCGAGTTCTCCATAACGCCTCACACCAATGCCGTCTAGAGTTGCACAGGGAAGGCCCCTCCACACCGTCACCGCAGAATATGTTCTTAGCGCGATAGAAGCCGACGAAATGCCTGTGCGTATTTTGGGATTTGTTGGAGTGTGTCGGTTCTGCACCACAAGAAACGCTACCAGATAACCTGGAGATATGCAGAATACACGTCACCTGCTCCCCGTTATGGCTGGGTGCATCCCTGTTCGCCGACGCCCTCGCCTGAGCGCGCCCCTGGTGACAGGTCGGCGTGTCGTGGCCCGGCCGGCCGCCGGAGGACACGTTCTGGTGCCGAGCGCCGCTGGGTCGGACAGCTGCGGGGCACCGGTCCGAGCGGCGCTGGCGGTGTAGGTGGAGTGATCCGCAGACTGTCCCGTTCGGGGAACACAGGCGCTTAGCACAGATAGTCCGACTGTGTGGTCGCGGTCAACACAGCACAGTGTTAAGGTTGCGAGGGTGCTTCCCCAGTTGTGTACTCAACGTTTTGTTCTCTTCAGTAGCTAAGCCTGTACCAGGAACGTAGTTCCGCAGAATTGGTTGCCGTTAAGCCCAGGATCGTTGAGCCCCGGGTTGGTAACCCCTTCACTGATCTATTTCGGGGTAGGGGTTGATGGTTTTTTAACGTTATCGTCTCCATTTTGTTGTCGTTTGAGGACTACATGGAAGAAGGTAGCATGGGGGGGAGGGGGGAACAGCCGTAACATGTCATAGTGGTATTTATGACCATTTTTACGCCTTATGCTTCTCTCCACTAGTCATGAGAGTGTGTTAGTGTAGAGGGAGGGTTCGTTCCCAGCTTTGGAGAGCTCAAGCACAGGTTGAGTGCTCAACTGTGTGTGTGTGTCAACGCAACTGTGTGTGGGGGGAGGGAGGGGTGCGAGGCCCTGAACTGAACACCTTTCCATACCCCTGGCCAACACGTACCTGAGCAAGTTCGAGTTCGAACATGTGGAAGACACATAGCTTGTCTAGTGACAACAAGGGTGACGTGGTTCATATTATTGCTCGCATCAGGCAGGCCGGACCCTGCTTCCGTGATTGACATTGTACGGATTTGAGGCGATGTTGCGAGGTCTGCGGTCTGTAACACAATACAACGGAAACGGTTTTCCCTGCCCTTGGGCTGTAAACACCCATGTGTCAGTTGCAGCGACTCGAATTCCGGACCATAAGCAGAATATAGAACTGCACATTTCGCAGGTACCCTGCGCGCAGCGACAAGTTCATACCCAACTGAATACACTTGTGCTCTCATGACTTTCGACCGGTTCACCACACTACATGATGCCATATCGCTGCGGAGAGTCAAGTCTGCAGTTAGTCTGCAGTAAGTGATTGCTTTTCATGACTTCGGAACGGAAAACTTACGCTTGCAGAACGCACCTGACATTGACCTGGCCGGAGCTTGGCGTTGATGTCAGTGAAAGTCGCGATACACTACGCAGAGAAAGGCGAGTTTTCGGCTGAAAGCGGTTTCAAAGTTGTGTTACTACAATGATATGCTTTCGTAAGTCCCAAGATTGCCAGGCGGTTATCTGCGACATTCGGCGTGACATCTGCCTGGGAAGATGTTACCTGCGTTGTAGGGATAAGTTATACGGTTCATTGAAATAAATGACCAAGGCTATTTTTGTCCTTCTCAGTTTACCAGGCCGACGGCTAAATTCACTTATTTTGCTGGTAGAATTAAAGCCCTTATGGTTGCTGTTGACTGAGGGTCACAGGCGGTGCTGGATTAACGCGTTGGTACGGAGAAGTATCTGGAGCGTCATCTTCTGTCCGCTTCGCTAGCCATTCCACAAGGCGGAGAGGCATTCTGAAGCAGTTGAATGTTTGCCCATTTGTTTATTCTGCAGGGTGGAAAGTCTCTCCTGCGTAGCGAACTCATCCTAGCAAGCGTGGATGAGTTCACTATAGATGATAGAGGAGCTATGGCTACAAAATCGAATCTGTGTCCCCACTTTGAGTGTAAAGGATTCCAGGATTAAGCATCCACCAATTTTGCGTACTGGATTACGCTCACGTTGCGAGCTTTCTTTCGAACACGTTTTCGCCAAATTCATTCTAGACATCAAGCACTTCATTATTTGTTTGAGTCCGTGTCCTGTTTTGTATGCATGCTGCCGTGCCAGTGCGAATCTCCGTGGCAACCGAGCCGTGAAATGACGCGTCACGCCTGGCCGCCGGCCTGGGAGCTGTGGCGGCCAAACGCGCGCCGCGCCGCGCCGCGCCTCGGTCTCGCGCCGCGCCTCACCTCGGTGTCGAGCCTCGCTGATCGTCATATCAGCCGCCGAGCCGGCCCAGCTGGCGTCGGGGGTCGTCCGCGCGAGGAACGTGGCCTCTGGCGTGGTCAGGAATGCCAGGAAGTGGTGTGAGTCTTTTCGCCCGAAGTTGCAGCCAGGCAGTCCGCGGTGCGCACGCCCGAATTCCACCATGATGGCGAGATGGCGTGATTTCTTGAGATCTCGCGGATAAATGGGCGGAATTTTCCGTAGGTTATCCGTCATTATTCCGGGAGCCTTTCATGCTTAAGACGCCTCTCCGCCTGTGGCTTCGGAGTCAATCCCTGTAAAAATTGGTGCAGCCGGGCAGATGGTTCCGCAAATGCCACGCACGGTGAAGAATTTCTGCCATCGTCACGTAGCATTCTTTGCCAATGGCACATTCCTCCAGACCATACCCAGATAGGGGTGTTAAATGAATTAGGCCTCGTAGCGAATGCGCTCTGTACCAGTTGCAATAGCTGCAAAATAGCTCAGAACGATGTAATACTTTTGTGAATTGCTGGCAATGAAGCATAGACCTTTACAGTACTGGCAATAGATACAAATGCGTGGCAACAAACGTTGGCACTCATTTCAATCTCATGACTTCCTCATTTCATGTTGTTGGCGTTTGACGCACAATTAATCATTTGTGATCTGGATGCGTTTTTGTGAAATGTCTCTCATAGTTATTGGTCGGTTTGCCAACGTGATACTCTAAATCGGCAACCTCGTTTTCTGTCTATCCCTGTTATTTTAGTTGATACATTGATGCCCTGTATGTCATTTACTTCTCTGTGCAGAATATACCATGAACATATTCTATGAATCCTGTGCAGTGAGAAGCTTGCCAAATCTAACGTTTTTGTACTACGCATCCAAGGAGAACACTGCGTAGAAGGGTTAGTCACAGGATGTCGTTGGTCACAGAAGACCAACCAGTAAACCCCGAATATTAGCAAAAAAGAGAGAAGCAAACGGCCAATTATCCATATTTCAGAGCATGCGAGATGCAGGTGTGTATGTTCTTTACGTGTGCTCTCATTTGTGATCCTTTGTTTCTTTCCATCCTTTTTTGAACCAATGTCCCATGCTTTCGAAGCTGCTGCGGACATTTACAAGCAACTCGGGAAGTTACAACCTCTTTTGTTGAAGGATATTTAGGTGCGAGCGGTTGACGACTTTTGGTGATTATGTGTGTCGTTATGTAAGAACATTTCAAAAATGAAACCATTCCGATGAAGCTTACGTGATCAAGGAGGCATCCCATAATCACAGACTTGATCGTTTGGTCTCATCAGCATCCACCGGCTGGATGGATGCAAAGGCCGGCTGTGTGGGTGCAAGGGCTGAACACGAGCTCGGGGGAAGTCATTTGATCCCCCTGCGAAAGTCGTTTTCCCACAAAACTTTTAAAAGGCGTGGCTTGGCCGCGCTTAACTATATCTAGCCGAAGGCAATTGAACAGTCGGATCTTTTTGGATAAGCAAATGATATATGCCTAGTAAGGTCGCTAACTTACAGGAGCTCAAAGAAAGACCATGATTGTGAGCGAAGGCAATTCCTAGGGAATCGTTCAATCTCATGTGATGCGACGACGGAGTGTTAGACGAAGTCAGACCCCTTTGAGATGGTATCTTATACAGTTAGACAATTTTAAATTCGGATTACGACCAATTCCATTCACACTGGGTTAAGTATCAAGAACATATCAATGTAAAAATCGAACCTCCTTAAAGCCGGAAAACTTGCTGTTTGGTTGTAATTTTGTGGTAGTTCATTTTGCCTTTTTATCATGCGGAAGTCAATAGATATCCCATTTTACCTTGTGAGTGCTAGGAGTGTTACTGACTTAAAGTTACCGCAACGGGTCTTTTGCTTTGAGGGGCACGCCGCCAGCGTAATTTTAACGCAGATTTGACACTCAACAGGCCTGACGGGCAAAAATGCGCCCCCCACGGTCAATGGTGGAATCCTTTACAGTTCAGAATGAGCTCTCCACAGACTCACCATGGCCCCTCTTTTGATCAGAATGGGTTTTACATGCGCCAGTATGAGCCTTCGACAGGACAGAATGAACTTTTGCAGATAAAATTCATCTTCAGCTCCTCAGGTTTACCAAGTCTGACCGGGCCGCCGCCCGCCCGCTGCCATCCACCGCCGCCCGCCACCATCATCGCCCAGCTGACGTCCCCGCCCCTTGTCTGTCGGCAGGCTTCATCGTGGTGGCGTCGTGCGTGATGACCTTCGAGGCGCGTGACTCAGCGGCCAAGGTCGTGCCGGCGCGCTTCCGCGGCCAGCCGGAAGCAACGACGACGCACGACTCGCCCGGTCTGCGCAGCTCGGCCTGCCAGACGCTGCCCTGCTCTCCGCGCTCCGGCCGGTTCGGCCGCTCGCTGTCGGCGCCGTGCGTCGGCCGCGCCCCGTCGCTCGGCGCCGGCGCTCAGCACCGGAAACGGCACGCTTCCGGCCAGTGCGTCCGGAGGAGCAGCGCCGGTGGCCGACGGCTCCGGGCGAAGAATCGTTCGATGACGGCACCGGAAGCGCTCCGGAGGCACGGAGCTCTGTTCCGGGCTGTCGCCTGCGACCGACGCGCGCCGCCGGTGGGGACATCTGTCGAGCGGCGGGCGAACTGCGTCGACTGCGGTCGGCAGGGGGCGTGCGTCGACGGAGGCGGGACGGGTAGCCTGTCGCCGAACTTTGGCGGGTCGGGTCCACCTCCAGCTGGTACGGAGGACGGTCACCATGGTGAGAGACGGTCTTCACACGCCGAGACTGAGCATCCAGATGGCGAAAACCAGCTTCCGCACGGCCGCAGTGGCCATCCACGTGGCGTTAGTCCGAGCCTCAGCTGGTGCGCTGTGTCTGCAAATGACAGGGGCTGGAGTACAGACGACGATGGCAAGCGCGAGCGCATCGAAAGCCTGCGTCTGGACACAGCTGGGCGGCGCAATGTGTTTGTCTACATGGAGCACGGCACCGGGGACGACGTGCTGACCGTGGCGTGCGTCCCGCCGCCGGTCAGGAGACCGAGCCTCGCAGCGAGGGCGCCCGGTCCTGTCGGGACCGCCACCACGGGTCCCGCACGCCGGTCGCCAAAGGCAGCACACTCAGCACCGGCCTGCACAGGGCGCCCCCCTGATCCCCTCGAAGGCCTGGACGTTGTGGTGCGGTGCGCCGGAGTCGACGGCGCGCGAAGAGCCGCGGGAAAACACTTATGGCGAACTGGCCTCGCAAAAGAACTCCTTCTGGTGGGTTTGTTGTGACGCCGCGGCCGGTATGTGAGCGCCCCTCTGCAGAAGCTCTACCGCTGGCGTTGTGCCACAATGCACACGCCGCGCCGCAGAAGGGGGTGAGCGACGTGGGGAGCGAGCTTCAGCAACGATGTTGCAGCACTGCCGCCGCGCTGGAAGCCT